ATGACACAAGCACTTGTACTCAATTTATTGGCCAGAATTACTCGTACAGTGCTTAATCTGAAGCCAGGACAGGTGGCCCAGAGTGTCATTTTCTGTCATTTTCTGGTTGAATTCCCTTTATACTCATCACTTTACCACTGTGTAGTAGCATAAAAAATTTACAAAGATCAATCTTTTTTTGACCCTTTAAATGAAGACAGGGGACTGAGAGTATAGGCATTTCTTGAAATGATTCTTTAGTTTTGTTCTGTTGTTTTATTTCTTTATGAAATAAGTGCCGTTGCTGAATAAAATAAATATATAATTTGAACCTTCAACTAGATATAAAATATTATTTATAGAATCTGATTAAACCCTTTAGGGCCTTAAATTTACTTTAAAATTTCATTTAGAGGGACTTCCTTGGTGATCTAGGGGTTAAGACTCAACATCCCCTGTGCCCAGGTCCCATCCCCTGTCAGGGAACTAAATCTCACATACTGCAACTAAGAGTTTGCATGCTGCAACTAACAGCCTACGTACTGCAACTAAGACCTGGTGCAGTCAAATAAATAAAAACAAAATAAAACACAGTACACTCCTACACTATTGGAGAGAATGTAAATTGGTACAGCCACTATGGAAAGCAAGATGGAGGGTCCTTTGAAAACTAAAAATAGAGTTACCATACGATCCTGCAACCCCACTCCTGAGGATATTTCTGGAGAAAGCTATAATTCTAAAAGATGTGTGCCTCTGAATGTTCATTGCAGCATTACTTTCAATAGCCAAGACATGGAAACAAACTAAAACTCCCTCCACAGATGTATGGATAAAGAAGTTGTGAGATATAATATATAAAATATTACAATAATGGACAGAAACAGTATGAACCTGACAGAAGCAGACGATGTTAAGAAGAAGTGGCAACAATACACAGAAGAACTGTACAAAAAAGGTCTTAATGACCAGGATAACCAAGATGGTGTGATCACTCACCTAGAGACAAACATCCTGGAGTGTGAAGTCAAGTGGGCCTTAGGAAGCATTCCTACAAACAGAGCTAGTGGAATTGATAGAATTCCAGCTGAATTACTTCAAATCCTAAAAGATGATGCTGATAAAAGTGCTACACTCAATATGCCAGCAAATTTGTATAACTCAACAGTGGCCATAGGACTGGAAAACGTCAGGTTTTATTCCAGTCACAAAAAAAGAGCAGTATCAAAGAATGTTCAAATTACCGCACAATTGCACTCATTTCACATGCTAGCAAGGTAACGCTCAATATACTTAAAGCTAACTTTCAGCAGTACGTGGAGAACTTCTGGATGTACAAGCTGGATTTAGAAAAGGCAGAGGAACCAGAGATAAAACTGCCAACATCTGTTGGATCATAGAAAAAACAAGGGCATTCCAGGAAAACATGTGCTTCATTGACTACACTAAAGTCTTTGATTGTGTGGATCACAAAAACTGTGGGAAATTCTTAAAGAGATGGGAGTACCAGACCACCTTACCTGTCTCCTGTGAAACCTGTGTGCAGGCCAAGAAACGACAATTAGAACCATACATGAAAAAATAACTGGTTCAAAATTGGAACAGGAGTACGACAAGGCTGTATATTGTCACCCTGCTTATTTAACCTCTATGCAGAGTTCAGTTCAGTTCATCACTCAGTTGTGTCCGACTCTTTGCGACCCCATGAATCGCAGCACTCCAGGCCTCCCTGTCCAACACCGACTCCCGGAGTTTACTCAAACTCATGCCCATCGAGTCGGTGATGCCATCCAGCCATCTCATCCTTTGTCGTCCCCTTCTCCTCCTGCCTCCAATCCCTCCCAGCATCAGGGTCTTTTCCAATGAGTCAGCTCTTCGCATGAGGTGGCCAAAGCATTGGAGTTTCAGCTTCAGCATCAGCCCTTCCAATGAACACCCAGGACTGATCTCCTTCAGGATGGACTGGTTGGATCTCACTGCAGTCCAAGAGACTCTCAAGAGTCTTCTCCAACACCACAGTTCAGAAGCATCAGTTTTTCAGTGCCCAGCTTTTTTCACAGTCCAACTCTCACATCCATACATGACCACTGGAAAAACCGTAGCCTTGACCAGACAGACCTTTATTGGCAAAGTAATGTCTCTGCTTTTTAATATGCTATCTAGGTTGGTCATAACTTTCCTTCCAAGGAGTAAGTGTCTTTTAATTTCATGGCTGCAGTCACCATCTGCAGTGATTTTTGGAGCCCAAAAAAATAAAGTCTGACACTGTTTCCACTATCTCCCCATCTATTTCCCATGAGGTGATGGGACCAGATGCCATGATCTTGGTTTTCTGAATGTTGAGCTTTAAGCCAACTTTTTCACTCTTCTCTTTTAATTTCATCAAGAGGCTTTTTAGTTCCTCTTCACTTTCTGCCATAAGGGTGGTGTCATCTGCATATCTGAGGTTATTGATATTTCTCCTGGCAATCTTAATTCCCGCTTGTGCTTCTTCCAGACCAGCCTTTCTCATGATGTACTCTGCATAAGTTAAATAAGCAGGGTGACAATATACAGCTTTGACTTACTCCTTTTCCTATTTGGAACCAGTCTGTTGTTCCATGTCCAGTTCTAACTGTTGCTTCCTGACCTGCATACAGGTTTCTTAAGAGGCAGGTCAGGTGGTCTGGTATTCCCATCTCTTTCAGAATTTTCCACAGTTTATTGTGATCCATACAGTCGAAGGCTTTGGCATAGTCAATAAAGCAGAAATAGATGTTTTTCTAGAACTCTCTTGCTTTTTTGATGATCCAGTGGATATTGGGAATTTGATCTCTGGTTCCTCTGCCTTTTCTAAAACCAGCTTGAACATCTGGAAGTTCTTGGTTCACGTATTGCTGAAGCCTGGCTTGGAGAATTTTGAGCATTACTTTACTAGCGTGTGAGACGAGTGCAATTGTGCAGTAGTTTGAGCATTCTTTGGGATTGCCTTTCTTTGGGATTGGAATGAAAACTGACCTTTTCCAGTCCTGTGGCCACTGCTGAGTTTTCCAAATTTGCTGGCATATTGAGTGCAGCACTTTCACAGCATCATCTTTCAGGATTTGAAATAGCTCATTCCATCACATCCACATGATGGGAAATGCTGGGTAGGATGAAGCACAAGCTGAAATGAAAATTGTAGGGAGAAATAATAGCAACCTCAGATATGCAGATCATACCACCCTTATGGCAGAAAGAAAAGAGAAACTAAAGAGCCTCTTGATGAAAGTGAAAGAGGGGAGTGAAAAAGTTGGCTTAAAACTCAACATTCAGAAAACTAAGATCATGGCATCTGGTCCCATCACTTCATGGCAAATAGATGGGGAAACAGTGGCTGACTTTATTTTCTTGAGCTCCAAAATCACTGCAGATGGTGACTGCAGCCATGAAATTAAAAGACGCTTACTCCTTGGAAGGAAAGCTATGACCAAACTAGACAGCATATTAAAAAGCAGAGACCTTACTTTAACAACAAATGTCTGTCTAGTCAAAGCTATGGTTTTTCCAATAGTCATGTATGGATGTGAGAGTTGGACCATAAAGAAACTGAGCACCAAAGAACTGAAGCTTTTGAACTGTGGTGTTGAAGAAGACTCTTGAGAGTCCATTGGACTGCAAGGAGATCAAACCAGTCAATTTTAAAGGAAATCAGTCTTGAATATTCATTTAGAAGGACCGATGCAGAAACTGAAACTCCAATACTTTGGCCACCTGATGCAAAGAACTGACTCATTGGAAAAGACCTTGATGCTGGGAAAAATTGAAGGCAGTAGGAGAAGGGGACAACAGAGGATGAGATGGTTGGATGGCATCACCAACTCAATGGACATGAGTTTGAGCAAGCTCCAGGAGTTGGTGATGGACAGGGAAGCCTGGCATGCTGCAAGGAGTCATATACCACTAAGTGACTGAACTGAACTGAAAAATTGTGTAGGATTATGAGATTACAGTTTACATATTCATTACTGTTATTCTCTTTTACTTACCCTAAAATGTGCCATGAGAATATAGCATACTTTGGAGAGGAAAGGGAAAAATAATGAATTTCTCTGGTCTTATTTCTAACTGTTGCCTTAAGCAATGGAAGTTTCTGAATGTTTGAAACAATGAAGATCCTTAATTGCATCAAATAATTTGGCCTAAATGAAATTTTATCTATTATACCTGGTGGAATGATTTCATCTCCCTTCCTGAAGAATGAGGCAGTTAATAAGCATAGATTGAATGTGGATTCAAGTTAAATCATACATTAACATTAAATTGTATTTCCTTGAAAATTTTTTAATTTATGAAATCATCTTGTTTTTAGGAAAAAAAGAATAATTAAACTGATTTCCACCATTGCTCAGAGAATACTCCCAGCTGCAGGCAAAACCCATTAGAAGAACATCTCTATTAGAATGAAACACAAATCCAGTGAACATTTATATGCAACATTTGGAAATTCATGCTTTAGGCTTATGGAAGTGATTCAAATGACTGCCTCTCATTAAATGTTGAGAGCAAAACCGAACTGATATGCCATTCTAATGAGCAACTCTTTCAACCGTTATAAAGGGTACTATAGTGGGTATCTCAAGCATTCGGAGGCATAAATCAATCATTACATAAAGCAATGGAGGTAGGCTTAACCAGGAAATGCAAGAAATATATACATATAGCCACATTGCTAAAAATGGAATCAATGGCTGCCAATAATAAGATTATTTTGGAGTTGCGGGTCACTCTTCGGCCTGAGTAGACCAAGACAATGCTACGTGCGTTGGGTGGCCGGCTGGGGGATTGGGCTGGAGAGGAAACAGTAAATTGGGAAGAGGACTCACGGGACAGCCTGGGCGCTTGAGCCAGCGTAGGGAGGGTTGGCGACTGCAAGACCCGAGGTTAGAAATGCAACCTGAGAATATTGGATCCAGCCAGGGCTGGGAGAGGAACTCCGCTTGCCGAGTTACGGAGCAGTAATAACTTCGAGGAAATTCAGCGTCATCCTTTATACCAGAAAGCTGGCGGGCACTATGGGGAAAAAAACAAAACCAGAAAAAAGTGGAGGCGGTGCTAGAGAAGAGGAGGAAGAGTATGTGGTGGAGAAAGTCCTAGACCGCCGAGTGGCGAGGGGCAAAGTGGAACACCTGCTAAAGTGGAGGGGTCCTCAGATGAGGATAACACACAGGAACCAGAAGAGAACCTGGATTGCCCTGACCTCATCGCTGAGTTTCTGCAGTCACAGAAAACAGCACACGAGACAACAAATCAGAGGGAGGCACGCGCAAAGCTGATTCTGATTCGGAAGGTAAGGGGGAGGAGAGCAAAGCAAAGAGGAAGAAAGCAGAGTCAGAAAAGCCGCGAGGCTTTGCCCGGGGTTTGGAACCAGGGCGGAGTATTGGAGCTGCGGACTCCAGTGGAGAGCTCATGTTCCTGATGAAATGGGAGAACTCTGATGAGGCTGACCTGCTTCCTGCCGAGGAAGCCAATGTCAAGTGCCCGCAGGTTGTCATATCCTTCTATGAGGAAAGGCTGATGTGGCATTCTTACCCCTCAGAGGAAGATGACCAAGATGGTAAGAATTCACTTTCTTGAATACCAGCCCCTGTCACATCTGACTGTGGGTTCAAGTGGGGAAAGGAGGAGTTCTACTCGTCTTGACGCCATAAAGGTGGCTGGAGAAGATGTCCTTTGGAGAGCCGGTATAGTTTCTCCGCCCTGCAGCAGCCCAAGTGCTTTAAAGCCGTTCCATGCTGTATAGTTTGCACACCCATCCCCGTGGAGGGGAAGGAGGGTCAGTGTTTCAAGCAACCCGTTCTGAACTTTGCTTTAAAAAAAAAAAGCAGAGGGCCTTCTATGAAGGACAAAACGCAGAATGGGATGTGGGAGAGCAAGAGATACTGTAAATCTTCAAAGACCGTCTCCACAACCCACACAGCCTTCTTCCCGATAGTGTTAACTCTGCATTTTACAGCGTATCATATGTGTAGTTTTTGGCTATTACTGGTGTATTATTTGCAGTGGGTGGGGTGGGGTGGGAAAGAAGGGAGGTGGGTTAGGATCATCTTTGTTAAAATTTGGGGAAATGGTGAAACAAAAGAAAGAATAACTAATGATGATTGGGTTCTGTGTCCAGAATATTATTTTTTTTAAAAGATTATTTTGCTCACATTATTACTCCCACAGTATTACTTTACCTTTATTATAATAGAATGATGTAATATATTTTTAAAAAGATTCTCCTGATTGATTTTTAACTTGTGTATTTATTGCATTTATTTATTGATGGAAGTTATTAAACATGTCTCAAAGAAAAACACTTTCTTTTTTCAGTTTTGAACATTTAACCAAAAATTATCAGTTATTCTCAAAATTATTTCAATAATATCAAACCCAACTAGTCTGTAGAAAAAAAGGATAAAAATCAGTTAGCTCATATGTAAAGAGTGGTCAGATTATGATTTAATGACAAAGGAAGTTTATTGCATCAGTTTTTAAAATAATACATTTTCATGTCAGTCAACAAAGAGAATTAAGGAGGACAGTTCTCCCTAAGAGAATATAGGGAAGGAATGGAAGAGAAAGAGTAAAAATAATTTGATGGGTGTGACCACTAAAAGGAGTGGTAAGTGAGGGTAAGTAAAGTAAGTAAATATCAGTTTACAATGGCGAAGAACCTAGGCAGAGTACTCAGGAAGTTTGGCCCTCTCCTGCAAGTCTACCATCCTACATAAGGGGATACAACCATATCCAATTGTTTTACAGTTCTCTTTATTCCAGGGACTTTGCCCTGTCCATGTTTCATAATATCCACTAGAGTAGTTTCCTACCTGTGACTCTCAGAGTTTTCTAATTATGCTTCATGTATGTCTTTCTGATGCCCACAAAAATCTACCAACAAAGAAAAATGTCAGAACCCTTAGGTCAATCAAAAGGATACTTAAGGGGGCTCATTCTTGTGTTTTGCATTTCCAAGTGTTCTTTCAGGCTTGAGGTGATGATCAAAAGCAATGACTCAAGCCAGTTAAAGTAGATATCACGGGGAAGCAAGGGCAACTTGGAGTAAGAATGGTAGGGGACTTTGGGTGTCCATTGCCCCAACCCTACCACCAGATCCACTGTCTTCCCTTCACCACCATGCTCTCTGCCACAGGAAGTTGCCTTTCGTGAACTTTATCACCCAGGCTTCTTTACCCTCTGGCTTCCATTTTGGTTTGGCTAAAAAGAGTCACCCACAGGAAAATTGGAACATAAAAGGACAAATACTAATGGGCATTTCTGTCCCTCTTCCCTGCTTTGGCACTCCACTGTCTTCATTCTTCAATTGAATACAAAGCTCCCATCACTTCTAGTCCTCCCAGGATCTAAATTCTTTCCAGATCCAGCATCACATTCTCTCTTATTGCCCCTTCAAGCCTTAAATAACCGTAGCTTCCCTTATAGCCAGTCCCTGAAACTTCAATCGTCTTTGACCATTCATTTAACTCCACCCACACCACAGTATTTGTTCTACTCCTTAACTTCTCTTTGCTCAGCCTCTTTGCTGTCAGAACCCTGACCCAGCTTGGAGATTGTCTTACATCGCACATCACACACTTTTCCCTCAGGAACTCTAAGAAGTCGAAGAACTCGTCACTCTAGACCAATGCTAGAACTGAAAATTACAACTCTATAACATCTCTCCACCTCCTTCCACTGACCAGGATTCATCTACCTGAGAAATTTGTCAGAGATGATTGCAAATAGCTACAACACTTGTCTTTGTGTCATTGACAAAGAAGAGGATATTCCTAATAAAATACAGTGTGATAACAGGGGATATTGAAATAAACAAATACAAATATTACCCATAATTTTTAATCCCCTCAAAAATGTTAACGAAATAGTCCCTTTATGATCATTCTATGACAGTTCCCTATTTCTTTCTAGCAATATATTGTATCAGTTTGCTAATCTGCTTTTATTTATTTTTGGCTCCCTCACTGCACAGAAGCCACATGAAAGCCCATGTCTGCACTTATTATTGTGTATGCCCGGTGTGAGAGAAGAGTAGAGAACAAAATAGTCACTCAGTAAACAGTATTTGTGAATAAATTAAGAACTTTATTTTCATTATTTCATGTAATTGTTCTTACCATCCTTCAATGGGTCCTGTATTACTATTATTCCCATTTACAGATGAGGAAACATTATCAGAAAAGATAAGTAACTTGCCTAATTTCACACAGTTAGTAAGTAGTCAAGTTAGGACTGGAGCCTATATTTGTCTTATACTTCCCTATTATAGTTCATGGAAGCTCTGAGCATGGTCACCAATTAATTCAATTAATATTCATGTGAATACAATACTTATTTTGTATCATATACTAGTTCTGAGGGCTAGGTATATTGCAGTAAACAAAAGAGAAAAAAATCTCTTCCTTCACTGAGCTAGTCAAAATTAAAATTACAAAGACAAATAACAGAAACAAATCAATAAGATATATAATAAGATATCCAAGTCATCATTTTTTGAAGAAAATTAAAACAGAGTAAGGGGATAGAAATAGTGAGTGGGTTGCTATTTTACCTTGCATTGTCAGTGAAGGCCACCCGGAGATCTGGGAAGTTGCTGGCCTATGTACTGTCTTTTGAGCACATTGGAAAAAGGCAGACCTTCCTTCAGGCACTTGTAACCCTTCTTGTGAACCACCGTGGCTCTCTGCTTCCATGGCAATTACCACAGTCCAGCCTCTCACTTCTCACTTTAGGTTTACTGCAAGACTTTTCTGATTTGTCTGTCTACTCCTTTTGCCCTCTTGCTATCAGACTAAACTTAATTACTCTGGCCTAGCAAACCACACAGAGGCTGGATTCTGGACTCCATTTCAATCTCTTTCAGACAGCTTTGTATAGAAGTCAACTCAATGTGACAGCCTGTTTCAGGAGGTGATATTTGACTAAAGGCCTGAATAAAATTAGGGATCAAGCCATGAGAACATGGGGCAGGAAGAGCATTCTTTAATCCCTAAAACTAGAGCATGTTTGGTATGTCATAGTAGAGCAAGATCAGTGTGGTGGAGGGAGCAAGGAAAATATTAGAAAAAGGAGTAGCTCTGGTAAGGACTTTGCATTTTATTTTAAGGGTATGGGAAGCCCATTAAAGTATGGAGTTATGAACTCTCTCTTAAAATGAAAAAACTCCTTTACATAGGAGATAAGATTTGACCTGAAAATACGAAAATGAGTTGCAGTTGTCCCGTGCATAGAGATTCCATGAAGAAGAAATCTGCAAGGTAAGATCATATGAAAGAAACAAAAATAGTTTGGGAACCTAATCCTTGCTAACACAGATGAGCCTCATCCACATCACCATAGACGCTGTTAACAATGCAGAATCTTCGGCTTTTCTCTAGATCTACTGAACCATAATCTGCATTTTAAACAAACTTAGAAGTAAATTGTAAGCCTTGCAAGGGATAGTGGATGAGACTAAATCAATTATAAGTGATCTAGTGTTCTCAGATTATGGGCATTAGGCAATAATGGATGTAGAAGTTTATGAGCCTGGATAGTTAGGTTGGACTCATTGGGACTCACTATACTTTGAGTATAGTGATTGAGGTTCTGGAACATTCTGACAAGAGAAAACATTCCCATAATAATAGTCACCTCACAATGGTTGAGTACTATTGTCTGTGAAATTTAGTACCTTAAAAGTAGAGAAATTTCTTGTAATATTTCATGTAAATTTCAGTTTAAGATATTGATATAAATATGTATTTTTTTCTTTAAAAGAGGCCACATTGTCTATATGAAATAAAAACTATTATCTGGTTATATATTTATTTTTACCCCATGTTAGTTTATATACATTCCTTAGAAGCCCTTAAACATGCTGAACAAACTGAGAAACAAAATAGTCCTTGTAGATGTTCATCAATGAATTGTTTATTCTTTTCATTTCATTTCTCATATTCCAAAGGTCAGGCTAAATTGCAAATGTGTTATTTCTAGGAATGTAAATGTGATCAATTACACAACTTCTCTACATCTTTGTTTTGGCACACATCCTGTTTCATCTTCTCTTGCTTATTAAAAATAATAAATAGGGACATTCAGAATTCACCAAAAGGAGCAAGGGTCACTATAGCAGATAAATTGACACATCCCCAGAATGACTTGAATATTAATTTTGCCAGAATGTTTCACGAGGTGTTTTTTATTTTTCCTTATGTCTTTAAATCTTTTCTTAATGCTATTTTGGCAAACTTGTACCTCAAGAAGCATCAGGATGGACAGAGGTAGCAGGTATCCAAGGGCCTGGAAGATACACAGAAAGGAAGCATGAAGGACACAGTATGCAATTTATGATAAACAAGAAGTTCCAGTCAGATTTCTTGTCTTCAGAGAAAGCTGATATCAAAAGCTGGCAGAGATTCAGTGTGAAGGAAGGACAGAAATTCCCTAGAGGAAAAGCTGAGAGCTGAAGATAAAGGAGTAATCAAGAGCCAGACCCGGAAGAGTCTTATGTACGCAATGAAGAGTTTGTGCCTTGTCTTGACCTCTGAGAAGAATTTATCTTTTCTTCAAAAGCAAACATCCAGGCTATGATCAATTTTCATCCACACTTTTATTCTTGCCCTGTCCTCTGGCCCCAACTTTACTCCATTTCTCATAAAGTAGCTAGAGGGGGAATCTTTTCATTTCGCTGCTAAATATTCTTCAAAGACTTCCCTGTGCACTGCAAATGAAATCCAAATTCCTTATGACTTGGTCCAACAATCTACATACGGAAAACACAACTCTACCTCTTGCTTATATAGTGACCTCCTTTATTTCTTCCAATGGGTCAAGTTAGTTCATATTTCACAGCATTTCCATCAACCATTCTCTCTGCTGAAATGTCTTTCTACCTTCCACTCCACTCAAGATTGCTAACTCCTCTTCACTCTCGAGTTTTGGCCAATGGAACATCTCATCCTGATCGTCCCTTCCAAAGTATATAGTATCGCAATTTTCTATCTGTAATAGCTCCTTAGTTATTTCCCTCACATGTCTTAATTCAAAACTGCTTATCTGTTGAGAGTGGAGGTCCACATGGCAGAGTAGGAAGACACTCAGCTCACATCCCCGCCATGAATTGCTCTCTTACTGAAAACAGCATGGAGACTAGAAAGACGCTTATGCAACCAAGGAAGCAAAGAGACCCACAGGAAAGGGAGTGGTCTGAATCTGCACCCACAGAAAGGGACACAGAAGAGGACGGGATATCATGGTCTCAGGGATCTTCCCTGGGAAACAAGGAGTCTTGAGCCACACCCGAGGCAAGCCAGCCCTGGGGTCCAATAGCAGAGAGACAGTCCCCTCAGCTGGTTTGAAACCCGCGGGCGGACGCACTGGAGGGCTGTCAGAAGCCGAGACCCTCCTCAGCAGCAGACACAGCCGCTTACTCCCGGTAACGGCAGGGAGGCGCGGGCTGAAAACTGCCTCGGGCCCGGGTGGTTTCCCGGCCCACCCCAGGGCGCACCCCAGCCCGCACCGGGTGCCAGCTCCAACGCTTCGCTCCAGCCCTGCTCTCAGCAAGGTAGAGGCTGCCCTTTGCCAGGGGAGGGGGGGCACACGTGGAGGGAATGGGGCCAGCCTGGACTCGACCCTCTGACGGCGGCAAAGGCAGCCCTGACCCGCGCACACAGCCCTGCGCGTGCACACGCCCGCTTGCTCCAGGCCGCAGCGTGCAGGCCGCAGATGAAGCTGGTGCTCTCACTGGCTCTCCACGACTGATCATTGGAACGAAAACTACTGTAAGGGGCTTTTCCAAGAGGGTGAAGGACGAGGAGGATCCGGAGCTCATCTCTCCCCACAGACTCACCAAGAATGCATATGCTGGCACTGCGCTGGTGGTTTGTGGGTTAAGAACCCAGCTCCCAGCGTCGGAGACTCGGGCTTGATCCCGGGTCAGGGAACTAAGACCCCAGACGCCGCAGAGAAACCAAGCCCGCACATCCCAACTAGAGAGCCCGCGTGCTACAAGCAAGACCTGATACATAAATAAAAATAAATAAATAAATAAAAATATTTATTCACAGCTAGGTGAAAAATATTTGTAAAAATACATATACACATGAAAGGATTCTCGCAGAACACCTGCTTCACGCTAGCAGAGGACTGCGGACACCTAAAAGGATAAGAAAGATCCCCGTGCTACCAGGATGAAAGAAAAACGCAGGGACAGGGAAGAGATGAGGAGGCAGGACAGGGCACGCGCCCTGGCAAAAAGCTGAAGCGGGGCGAGGTTCCTGCATCCGGAGAAGCCCTGTCCCCAGCGGGGGAGAACAGCTGGGCCGGAAGGGGAGCTGCAGCGGCTCAGAGCGGAGCCCAGCCCCGGGGCGATGGCAGAAAGGACGGAGGGAGACCTACTCAGATGTTCTCTGCAACAAACCTGTGCGCCCCACCCCTACGACGAGCCAGGGCGTACGGGGGCTTGGTGCAGGAACTTAGGGTTTGGAGACTAGACCCAGGGAGGGGGCCGCTGTTGGCTGTGAGGGAACCGGAGGGAGGACCCAGGAATGCTGGCGGAGGAAGCCTGGACAGTCACCGAGGCCAAGAGCCCTTCCGAGAGATGCAGAAAGGGCGGGGTCACCATGGCAACATCTCTTCTCGCGCTCCATCCCCGCCTCCACGAGCACTAGGGAGGGCTTCCCCCAGAGCTGGCTCACCCACCCCCGCCATCGCCTCTGCCGCCCCACTCTGCCCACAAAGGGCGACCCACTCACCCCAACCACCGCCCGACGGGCTGTCTAGTTCTAACCGCTACCCCGCACTCTTCTACCAAGGCAGCTAGCACTCTCAGTCACTACCTCCTCTCCTTTCCGCCCAACTGACTCATGCTTGGGAACCTCTGAAACGGATTTTGGTAGGAGAAACACATGCAGAGGTGGGGACGAAACCCTAGGCGTTGAGTGATTAAAGAAGAAGAGATGAGATCATTCTTCAGGTGTGCACAGACGGTGAAGTGACGCCTCCTAAATGTACAGCTTCCTAAGTTGAGTGCCCATGAAACATCTGAAAGAACAACAACCGCTCCTGCGGTTGAGAGAGGTCTGGCTTTAGCAGCTGTGGGTTTGTGGTCAGTTTTGTTGTTGTTGTTCAGTCACTCATTTGTGTCCGACTCTTTGCAACCCCAAGGACTACAAAACTCCAGGCTTCCCTGTCCTTGAATATCTTCTGGATTTTGCTCAAACCCAGTTCCACTGAGAAGATAATGCTCTCCAAACATCTCATCCCCCTTGTACTGTAATTTTTTTAAAAAACCTGTTTATCTATTTGTCCACGTTCCTTTTTCATATATTAGTTTTCTACTGCTATAGATCAAACTTAGCAGCTTAACACAGCACACATTTGTTATCTCACAGTTTCTGTGAGTCAGGAGTTCAGACAGCCTAAGCTCCATCCACTGCAGGCCTGATCTTAAGGATGTCTGCAAGTATTTTTGTCACATCTGGACACTTGGCTGAGGAAGACTTCACTTAGGCTCACTTAGGCTGTTGGCAGAAGCCAGTTCCTTGTAACTGTGAGAATGAAGATCTCAGTTTCTTTCTGTCAGCTGGAGACCGCTTCTTCCCACATGTCTCCCTTAATTCTTTAAAGCCTACAAGAGAGAAAAGTCTTTAGAATAAGTGTGCTAACAAAATAGAGCTTTATATAACATAATCATGAGAATGCCCTCCCATCAACTTTGCCATATTCCATTGTACAGAAGCAAGTCACAGGTACCACTCACACTCAAGTGGAGGGGATTATATAAGGGTAAGAACATCACGGGTTGGAAATAACTGGGGTTGTCTTAAAGTCTGTTCCCCACAACCTGCCCTTTGACCTCTAATGATTTATTGATATACCCCTCTCACAAGCAAAATACATTCAATCCCCTCCCAAGATTCTTCTTATAGCATCCTGTTATGGTATCCTAACATAATATCAGTTCAAAGCCAAAATTTCCATCTCTAAATCAGGTCCAGGTGAAGATGACAGTCCTGGGACTAATTTGTCAAGTATAGTTCCTGGGACATAATTCCTCTCCATCTGTGGATCTGTGAAACTAAAGAACAAGCTGTTGTTGTTCAGTCACCAAGTCATGTCCAACTCTTTGCGACCGCATGGACTGCAGCATGACAGCCTCTCTGCCCCCCACTGTCCCATGGAGTTTCCCACATTTATGCACATTGAACCGGTGATGCCTTCCAGCCATCTCATCCTGTTACCCTCCTCTTCTTCTGCATCAGGGTCTTTTCAAATGAGTCAGCTCTTCACACCAGGTGACCAAAGTATTGGAGCTTCAGCTTCAGCATCAGTCCTTCCAATGAATATTCAGGACTGATTTCCTTTAGGATGGACTGGTTGGATCTCCTTGCAGTCCAAGGGACTCTCAAGAGTCTTCTCCAACACCACAGTTCAAAAGCATCAGTTCTTTGGTGCTCTCCCTTCTTTATGGCCCAGCTTTCACATCCATGCATGACTACTGGAAAGACTGCCTCAACTGCCTCGACTATACAGGCAAGTTATCTACCGCCAATTTCCTCCAAGAAGCATCTTTGCTCTATGAATGTGAAGACTAAGCCAATCTTGTTCAGCACTTTATGGTCAAGAATGCACTATACTTAAAGTGTTTAATAAATGTCCCTGAATAATTAATTCATAACCAAAATGTCAGCAGGCAGACAAAGCATAGTCCTGAGGTTTGATAAGGACCCAGAAACAGAGAATAAGTATCAAGACTGAGAAGCAAATAGTCAAAACTAGAAAATAATAGTTTGAATATGAAATAAAGAAGAAAAAGAAGGAAGGAAAGAGTGGAAGGAGGGAGAAAGGAGAGGAAGAAAGGAGGGAGAGAGGGGAAAAAAGAAGAAAGGAAGGAAAAATATAGGATCAGAGTATGTGATCAGAACAAGGCCAATAACAAAGAGGATGCTGCTGAACCAGATACTTATTCACTAATTCATCTAATAAACCCTTATGAGCATTATAAAGATTTTACAATGCTAAAAATTATGGTATCTGAGATAAAATAATATACCAGATACAGTCCCAGCATTCAAAGAGCTAGTCTAATGGGAGATACAAAATATAAGATGATAAACAGTAAAAATTAATAAACAGAGGGCTAACGAAATACATGGGGAAAATAACTACTCTTGTATGAGGGTATGTCAGATAAATTGTCCCCAAAGATATCACCTCTAAATGTAGTTTTAAAGATAAGTAAGATCTAACTCAACAACTGCTATCCGGATTATGCTGGAAAGGGGAAGGAAAGACGATGTTTTAGGAAGAGAAGAAAAATACATGTTAAAAAACCAACAGTGAAAACGAGCATGGTATATTCAGACAACTAAATTTTTTTTTTTTTAAGTACTGGAGAGTAGAGCTGGATGGTAAAAACTGATGAGAATTGAGACTGCACACTTGATAAAGGGGACCCAGATTATAATATGAAATTTGAGCTTAATTTTAGTATAGTGGAGAGCTATTAAAAAGTTTCAAGTAAGAAAATTTAAAAAATCAAACTTATGCTTTAGAAAGATAATTCTGACTAATGCAGAAGATCAACTGGAATGAATAAGACCTAAAGACAGACAGATTAGCTATGAGACAGTTATTTCTGGAATCTAAGAAACAGAGGAAGTTGGAAAAGGCAAAGAGCACAAAGAATTGAGTAACAGTGAGTAGAGCTGGGGTTTAGTTGCATGCTGGGATCAGGGGAGAGACGAGAGAAGATATGGCTGAGGGCCAATTATCTGTTTTGAAAACTGATTGAACAGTGGTACTGTGTGCCAAAGTAGCAAATAAAGCAAGAGAAAAGTTTAGGGTCTAGGTTGGATGGAGGTGAGCCACGCTAGAAAATCTTAGCTTTGAGTTGCCCCTGGGAATTCCAAGTGGAGATGGCTTGAAGGCAGTCAGTTGTACGTGGCTCTGGAGCTCAAGAAAAAATGTTGATCTAAGGTTACTGATATTTCCCTAACTGAGGAAAAAGATTGGCCACAGAATTCAAGGACTAAAGAATGACTAGCAATGGAAAAGTGAAAGATGAGTGCTGTCTGTTACACAATTCAGAGGAATTTGGAAGCCAAAAAAAAAAAAAAATCAGCAAAATGTTTTCTAAATACTTGTCACAAATTTTCTCATCTAATCCTACATAATACAGTGTGTAAAACATTAGTGAAGATTTCCAATCAGACATGTCAAATGTGTTTATCTCTGCTCCTAGTGGAAATAATGCCTATTAGAATGTCAATGCTGTCTTTTTAAAGGTTATAAATCCCAAGAAAAAAGGAAAAATGAGTGGAGGTGAGAGTCACTGAAAAATGTCAACAAATATTAACAAGTTGAAAGCAAATAGTGAGGTGGCAACTGACTTACTAAGTAAAAAACAGTTGAAACATAAAAATTTACAGTGGGAGGCAAGCTGAAAAGTGGGATTTTCCATGTAGATTGTAGAAGATTTGGAACTTGAGACACTGGACATATTGGTTGGCCCCAGTGATGTGAGAATTAGTTGAAAAGTCTGCATATGGAGTAATCAGATGCCTTCTTCCTATTCATGCCCCTCCTTACCATACACAGCCAGGTTAATACCACTTTCTAGCTTGTTTAGGAAACCAGACATTTAAACTCTAAGAAATTGATTCTGAAAGACTCCAGACTGGAGACACCAAGAGCAATGGAGTTTGATGGTGCTAAAGTGAAGACACATTTCTGAATAGTACTTTCTTATAAACTTTCCAGCAGTATTCTATTTTTAAGTAATACAGAAGGAATAATTTAATACATTTAAAGTTTTCCAAATAAAACACT